AGAAGAGACAGGGTTGCAGCACGGCCATCCCCGGGGTGGTGGTGGGGGGATTTCTCACTTTCTCTCCCTGTCTCTGGCAAGTGCACACACTCTGTGGTAAAACCCTGAAAAACAAAAGAAGGATAGGTGGCAGCCGTTGAGATTACCCGCCTGCCAACTCAACATCTGTGCATTGAGCATCTGTTAAGTGCCAGGCACTTGGGTGCCCTTGGGGGACAAAATAAAACAAGACAGTTATAGTCCCTTACCCTGTGGCACTTGCTTTCAAATAATTCAATTTAACAAACTTTTAGGGGCTAACAGGTGGCGCAGTGGTTAAGATACTGGACTCCCACATGACCAACCATGGTTCAAGTCCCAGACCAGTGGCCTGAAAAATCCCATCAGGCACTTGTGCATGCATGTCCACAATCACAAAAGGAGAGTGCAGGAGAAGGGACTGAGGCATGGCTATGACCCAGGGGGCTGATTTCTCATTTTCCTTCTGTCTCTCTCTGGCAAATGCACACACCCTAAGGCAGACTCCCCTCCCCAATACTTTTATTGGGCTTGGGATATCAGGAGTGTATGGGTTCAAAGATGGACAAGATTTTGTCCTTGCCCTGAAGGAAAAAAGAAACTACACTTGCGGGTACACCTCGTACTGCAGTGGTTAAGGAAGGCGGATTCCACATGGGCAACCGCAGTTGGAATCTTGGCCTCAGTGGTTTGAAAAACACTCCAGGTGCGTGCGTGTGTTCCAGATCCCAACAGGGTGAAGAAATGGAGAAGGAACTGTGGCATGACCACGCCCCCATTGGGGCTACTTTCTCCCTCTCTCTCTGTGTCTCTGTCTCTCTTCCTGGCAAATGAACACCAGACCCTCTAGCAATTAAAAAAACCCCAAATTTAGTGAGAGTGAAATAACAAAAAGAGATACACACCAGGAGCGGTGGGGCTGGGGAAGAGGCAGATCCAGAAAGCTCCTGGGGAGAGAGGCTGTGTGAGAGGGGCAGGGCTCCTGCAGGCTGAGGCGCAGGGGAGTGGTGGTGAGAACAGCTTGAACGAAAGCCCGGCAGCAGGAACAGTCGCTAATCCAACCTGCAGAATCTCTGGATGTGCACGCATAGCAGGAAAATGCAGGTGGGAGCCTTAAGCGCCAGGGCAAGGCGTCTGGACTCTGTTTATCCGGCCGTGGGAATCACGCAGGACTGGAGTGGAGTTGCGCAATTTGTAGTTATTAATACCTGGACCTACCTGGCTTCCCTCTGGAGTAGTGACCTTGTTGCCCCTGCCTTGGGACTCCCCTCTTCTGCCCACTGCCACATGGCCCTGCGTTCAGCGCTGGATGTCCTAGTGCTGCCTTCACGTGTGGGTCTGAGGGACTCTCTCAACTTCAACCCTAAGACGCATCTCCAGATGTTGGAGAGGGGCTGTGATGTGATGGTACCCCATGGGGGGGTACTTTCTCTCTCTTCTTGTCTCTCTGTCTCTCTGTCTGGAGAGCGCGTGTGCCCTCTGACAAAAAGAAAAAAGAAAAAAAAAGAAACGCATCTCCAGGTCGGACCTCCCCTAGGCAATTGCGTTTTGGCAGGTGAAAGCAGCACCAGACTGAGAAGCTGGACAGGCCTGGTTCTAATCCCAGCTCTGTCTCTCGCCCAGCTGTCACCGTGGGCAAGCCACTTCCCTTGTCTGAACCTCAGTTTCCTCATCTTAAAAATTACCAGGCTGGGAACCAGCAGTTAGCGTAATGGCTATGTCGCTGGACTCCCATGTAGTTGACCGCAGTTCGCATCCTGGACCCGGTGGCTTAAAACTCACACCGGGTGCGTGTGCGTGCGTGCCCAAGATCCCGAGAGGAGAATGGAGGAGGATTGCGGCGTGACCATCCCCCCTGGGGGGGTGATTTCTCGCTTTCTGTCTCTATGTCTCTCTCTGTCTGTCTGGCGAGCGCACATGCCCTATAGCAAAAACCTCTCAAAAAAAAAAAATTACCAAGGAGGATGGGTGGATTGACAATGACCCTTCCAGCTGCAGTGTTCTCTGACTAATTCACCAGGGGCCAGATCCAGGAATGTCAGTTTTGACTCACGGCAAGGGCTGCTGCTGGTGACAGCTGTGGGTCTGGCCTAAAGCTCCAAGGGAGAGAGGTGGAGAGGCTGCACGGAGGTGCTCGGGGGAGTCCTCCCGCCCTGCCTGGGATTAGTACAGCCCAGGCACTGGGCAGGTGCATGAAGATGCCTCCAGATGGTTGTAGCCCCAACCATTCTTGTCACCCCCAAAGTCTTAGACATTGTGGGGCTGTCTGAACCCCAGACCCCGAGAATGTGTGAGCATGATATGTTGCTTTGTGCCACCAAGGCTAGGGTGGCTTGTCACAGAGACAGATAATCAGAAATGGCGGAAACTTCACTAGGGGCTCCTTCTCTGCTGGCGGACTGCAGAAGCCAACTCTGGTCCTGGATAGGGGTGTGTGTAGCGTAGTGTTCTCAGGAGCAGTGGCTCAGAGACAGCACTGTCCTGGGATGTCCTAGGGTGCTGTATACACGAGGAAACTCTGGGGTCTCTCCAGAGGCTGTCCCAGCTGGGGCAGGGTCCACCAGTATTTGTTAGCACCCAGGTGTCCAAAGGCAGCTGGGGCAGCAGGGATGCCCATGCTGGGGGAGCTCCTCCAGGTGCGTCTCACACCGGACCTTATTCAGCCCCACCCCCACAGTGCGGTCAGGAGCTACTGGAAGGCCTTCTGCCACCTCACTGATGACCACAGAACCGAGCCCAGGACCACACACAGGGAATGGCCAGGCAGGGCTCTGAAGCCATTGTGGCCTCTGCACCCGACGCTCTGTTGAGGGGCCGGTGGGTGACTTAGGGGTGCACGCTTTTCTTTCCCCGAAACAGCCTCCGGTGTTGAAGTGAGACCGCTGACCTTGGCTTAGGTTCTGCTTCCTCTTCCTCTTCTCGCCTCCTCCACTCTCATTCCATTTTTCCTCTGGGAATGTTTTGGCAGGAGGAACAGAGGAGGAAGGTGATCCCAAGACCGTAAGGAGGGGAGGTTTGTTGGTCCTATGAGGGCTTCACTCACCATGGTGCCAGGGCTGGGGGCGCAGAGGGCAACCGAGGCCAGGCTGCTGAGGTGCTGGGCGGGGGCGTGAGAAAAGGAGTTACCCGAGGGCGAGAGCGGTGAGTGACGAGGTTTCCAGAAGAATCCGCAGGGTCAGGGAGCATTCAGGCCTGGAGGGAGGAAGCGGCCTATTCCCTAGTGGGACTTCCTCTCTCAGGAGTGGGGTGGGGTGGAGGAGGGGCGCGGAAATACCGTTTTCTGGGAGACCGTGCCAGACTACATGGCGCGGCTGCTCATTTAAATCGATGCCCAGGCGAGGCTCTGGGAGGGTTAGCTGACCGGCCCGAGCGCACAGCTTGCGAGGGGCTCAGAACGCTCTCTCGCCTCCTTCCCGGAGCCCCGGAGCCTGGAGGTGCCCACCGGGGGAAAGGTGACTCTGGGCCCTCGCCCCGGGGCTGTCGCTGCGGGTCCCAGCAGGGGG